TACAGGAGATCGAAGCAAGAGAATTTCCAGTGGAGAACAAAGTGCGACAGCCAGAGGTGAGACCAAAACCTAGGAAGCAACAGCCTAGACACCAGAGACAGAGGGTTTATCAAAGCAGGAGCAAGGGTATGAAATCCGCGGACAGGGCAAGTAAGCTGCAAAGTCCGCACTGCTGGGGATGGAAGTCTCTTGTGATCTTTGCCATTTCAGTACAATGGGTTGGAGAGCAGTTGGTGGAGGTAGGAAGAGGAGATAGTTAAGAGGGGCAGCCTTGTCCTCAGCCTCCAGGGCCTCTGGCCTGCTGTGCAAGTTTCATGACAGCCCCTGAGGAGCGGAGAGACGTAGAAAAGGGCTGTTCTGTGTCCTGGGCATGATGGGGGGCTGCCGGATGCACTCCTGGTACCCTTATCCACCCTCTCCAGCCTTTACCCAGGCTAGTTCACATATCTAAGACCAAGGGGTTGTTTTCGGTTTTTTCCCTGAGAATTATTTTTTAGTCTTCAAAATGAAATGTTTAAAAACGAATCTGTGTATTTTCCTCGGTGTGAATTTGAATATGCAACTTTTGCTGTTTTTCCTCCTTCCTATTTGTCTTTTCATTTCTCTGAGAGTTCTGCACATGTATTCTTCCTTCTGTGTTTGAATACTTATTGTGTGTGTCTCCTGAACTGAGAGGGAAACAGAGACAGAGAGACAGAGATTGAGATTACTGAGATTGATTCAAGCCAGGCATGGTGGTGCACTCTTGGGAGGCTCAGGCAGAATGATCACAAGTTCAAGCCCAGCCTGGGCAATTTAGCAAGACACAGTCTCAAAAAGAAAAAAAATACAGCATTTTATCATGGTTTCATTCTTACAGTCTGAGTATAGTAGTACATTTATGTTAGTCTGCTTACGGAAAGAAAGCCATACATTTTGCTATGTTGAAGGAGATCTTATTACATATATCCATTAATGTAAAACCCAAATCCTCCTAGAAATATTGATAAATTTGATTATATTAAAACAAAATTACTTTCAAGGCCAGCCTGAAGTACAGAGTGAAGCCCTGTCTGGAAAAAAAAAAATTACATATATCAAAAATCTTTGACCTAGGGCTTTTGGTCAGTGGTGGAGCTCATGCTTGGCATGTTTAAGGCCAAGCTCCAAGAAATAAATAAATAAATATTCTATAAACAAAACCAGGCATGGTGTCACCTGCCCATAATCCCAGCACTCTGGGAGGCTGAAGCAGGAGCGTTGCAAGTTCACATCCCACCTCGGCAGTTTAGCAACTTGGTGAGACCTTGTCTCAAAATAAAAAAGGGGTTGGAAATGTATTTCGGTGCAAAGACTCTGAATTCAATCCTCAGCACACACACGTACAAAAAAAGAACAAAAGAAAGAAAAATACTAAAAACATATGTGAAATAGAATTAATTTTGTGAATTTTGTGCATGTACCATGGGTTTTATAGATCATTATGAGAAAAATGGGCAGCATTCATGAAGAGATATTAAAGAAAATAGAAATAATTGGGCCGGGGATTTAGCTCAGTGGTTCCGGTTCCTGCCTTGCAAGCGCAAGGTGCCAAGTTCAATCCCCAGTACCAAAGAAAAAAGAAAAGGAAAGAAAATAGAAATAGTCAATATAAAATGTACTTCGCATTATCATTAAATTCATAGAAACTAAAACAGTGATGTTAGCAAAGATTCTTTTCCTACAAGTAGTAAGGCACAAGTGTTATAGTGCACACCGGTAATCCTACCGTAACTCAGTGAGGCTGAGGCAGGAAGATTACATGTTCTGAGCAATTTATTGAGACCCTATCTCAAGATAATAAATAAATGTGCTGGGAATGAAGCTCATTGTGAATGCCCTGGTCCAATCCCAGTACCATTAAAAAATAAGTAGTAATGCCCAGTATTGGCCAATATTGGGGAAAATTGTGGGAGAGGGGAGTTTAAGATAGCTCTAATGCTTTGTGTGTCCATAGTATCTGACTTTTTCACAAAAGGTATAAATGCTTATAAATCTCCAGTACCACACACACACACAGAACTGCAAGGAGCAGATACACAGAAACTTGCACATGGTGCTGTTGTGGAACACCACACCTAAAGATGTGGACCGGAAGCTGCCTCGAGGCTGCTTAGGCGTCCGAGGTTATTAGACCTTTTGGTAGAGAAAGACAAGTTGATACAATGGAAAGGAGCACATTCTGACAGTTGACAAGAGATCACCCTTGAAGACAAGTTTCTAAGTGACGTCTTGTGGAGGCCAGGTTAGAGAGGTGCCTGTAATCTCAGTTACTGTACAACCCGGCACTGTCTCTGTCTTTCATCATGAATGCTATGCCTTTCTGTGTCTCACCTTCCTAATCTTAATGCTAATCCTTTTACAGTCTCTGTAAAACCTGTGTCCCGTTTACCTCATGTCCCCAGTGGAAACAGCCTACAAAACTGTACTATTGGCTGGGACTGGTGATGTACACCTGTAATCCCAGCACCCAGAAGGCTGAGGCAGAGGATCACCACAAGTTCAAAGCTAGCCTGAACTACATAGTGAGACCCTGTCTTAACAAAACTGCAGGACTGTATAGTAACACAGCAAGGGGATTGACATTGACACAACCCAGCTGGGGAACCTTTCTGTAGCCACATGCACCTGTTCCCTCTCACCCATCAGTGCAAGTCTGTTCTTTGTTGTTTCCAAACATCTGTATCAGAACTATCACACTATGGAGCCTTTAGGGATTAGCCTTTCTCACTGAGCAAAATTCACCCAAGTTGTTGCACGAAGCAGTAGTTCACTTCTTGGTGAGGCAGAGGACCTTTCCATGTAGGAACACTGCAATGTGTTCCAGCTTTCAACCACAGGAGGACACCTGGGTCCTGGGTAGCTTTTGACTCTTGACAGTAAAGCTGCTATGGACATTAGTGTACAGGTTTTTGTGTGAACAAAAGTTTTCACTTCTCTGAATAAATGTCCCGGAGTACAATTAGTGGGTCATGTGGTAATTGTGTTTTGTTTTTTAAGAAACTGCTGTTTTCCTGAATGTCTGTACCATTTTTCATTCCCATGAACAATGAATGAGTGACCTTGAAGATCTCCACATTCTCATCAGCATATGACATTGTGGCCGGAGTTTCTGTCAGCCATAGGATAGGGGTGGAGTAATAGTGTGTTTTTAATTTGGGTTTTCCCTAGTGGCTAATGATGTGCGCGTTTATCCTCTTTGGTAAAATGTCTTCAAGTCTGTTGCACATGTTCTAATTTGATGGATTTTTACTGTTGAGTTTTGAGCTTTAAATATTGCAGATACTAGCCCTCTGTTGGAAAAGTACTTTGCAAAGGCTTCTCCTAGTCTTTAGGTTTTCATCCAGAATCTTTGACTGAGCAAAGTTTTTACTTTTGATGAAGTCCAATTTATCACTTTCTCATTTTGTGGAATCTACTTTTGATTTCAAGTATAGAAACTCCTTGCCTAGACTTACATCCTGAAGATTTTATCCAAAAATTTTTTAACTTTTTAGGTTTTTGTTTTCTTTTTGAAGCTTGGTCTTGTTATGTAGTCCAGCCAGCCCTTAAACTCACTATGTGGCCCAGCCTGGCCTCAAGTTGGTATTATCTTCCTGCCCTCCCAAGTGCTGGGATTATAGACATGCCCACCACATCCAGTCAAATGCTTTATAGTTTTGTGTTTTCTATTTAAGACCATGATACATTTTGCGTATATATAAAGTATGAGATTTGGGTGTATTTTTTTCTTTCTTCCCCTCCCCTCCCTCCCTTCTCTTCCCTGCCTGGGGAGTCCATTTGATCCAGTGCCATCTGTTGAGAAGGTTATGCTTCCTCTACAGAATTGCTTTTGTGATTAATCATGTTTGTTTGTGTAGATCTACTTCTGGGTTCTCTGTTCTGTTGCACTGATTTGCATACCTGTCATCTGCATACCTGTCCCTCTACCAATACCACAGATTTGAATTCTGTGCCAACATAATACATCTTGTAACTGGATGGACCAATTTTTCGCACTTTTATTGTTTTTTTTCTAAAAATTGTTTTTTGCCTTTGCATATACATTTTAGAATAATCTTGTCTGTATGTACAAAAATATTTTACTGGAATTTTGATAGGAATTATGTCAAATCAAATTGGGGAAGATTGATATCTTTACTACATTGAATTTTCGTGTCCATAAACATAGTATATGTATCCATTTATTTAAATTTTTATAAGTGCTATTAGTGCGAAAGGAACATTCTAGGGATTTGATGAACCAGGCAGTATCAGGCAGCTTCCATACAGAAAATGAGTTCAGGCTGGGCATGGTTTGCTGAGGTGTGAGTAAAGGAAATCAGAGATTTTGGAATTGGAACATTCAGATTTAAATTTTGTCTCCCCCACCTTCCAGGTTGAAGGCTGGAGGCAAATCACTACTCTCTCAAAGCCCATTTCCTGTGCCACAAAAGGGGTACAAAAAAAAGGGGGAGGCAGAGGCCAAATCTTCCACCTTGCTGGGTTGGTGTTAGGAGGAGGAGGAAGAGTGAGCATGTCTGCCTTTGCATCCCTGGAGGATATCGCCCCAAATTTAGTTGAAATTTTCACCCTTGCCTTGCTGTGACTCTACTCAGCACTGTAACTGATCTATCTCTATGGAAAATTGGACAAATTCTGATGGGTCATTAGAATTTGCATTGGGGATCTTGAAAAGACTGGTCCAGGACTATTTTCGGTGCCAAGCACTCACACTTGAAGGTAAACAGCCTGGGTTCATTTCCCGCCTCCTCCATGTACCATCTGTGTAAGTGTGGGCATGTCACAGAGCCCCTAAGTTACCACATGGCGTCATCTCCCATCAGAAGACTGACCAAGTACGTTTACGTACCGTGTTTAACAGTGCCTGGAATGTGAGCTAGGATGACACGTTAGCTATGATCATGACTATTGGTGACTATAAAGGACACATTCTTATTTATGAACCAACTTTCTTAAAAATAAAATTGTTTACTTTGCAGATTTTTTAAAAAATGGATTTGACCAACCATGGACTTATTCTACTGCAGCAGTTAAACGCACAGCGCGAGTTTGGGTTCCTGTGTGACTGCACGGTTGCCATCGGCGATGTGTACTTCAAGGCACACAAATCTGTTCTTGCCTCATTCTCCAATTACTTTAAGATGTTGTTTGTCCATCAGACCAGGTAACTAACGTGGTTGATGATAAACCAGTGACCGCGGGGCCCCTCCTTCATCCGGGCCCTGGGTCTCGGCCTCACCCTAGGCTCCTGGGTAACACTTTCCTTCCCTTGTTGCCTTCCCTTCCCACCCCACTGCTCTTGGTCACTTGCTTCCATAGCACCTGAGAGTTACACACCTGCCACTCCACCAGCCCAGCCCCGCCCCACCCCACCCCGGCACACAGCCTGTTGAGTCTCCAGGCCTGTCAGATACAAAGCCAGCCGTAGGCCCCAAAGCCCCTTCTGCCAGACGCTTTTCTCTAGCTCCTGTGGCCCAGAGTATCCCCCTGACTTTCAATTTATTCTTGTCTTCTACTCAGTAAGAAGTTTGAGGGCACGGATTCTCCAAGAGCTCCTCATTTCTCTCTTAAAACCTCCCTGTAACTGTGCTCCATTTTCTTCCTTTCTATCTCTCCAAAGTATCTTTTTCTTTTCTTTTCTTTTTTTTTTTTTTTTGGTACTGGGGATTGAACTCAGGACCTTGCGCTTGTAAGGCAGGCAGCAGAACCACTGAGCTAAATACCCAGCCCTCTCCAAAGTATCTTAAAGAAAAGAACCTCTCAGTGTCCAAGGAAAATGGTCTTCCTCTTTCCTTCATTCCTCTCCATTTTTATTCTGTACTCTTCCCCCTCCCCCACTCCTACCCCTGCCCCCCAGTCTGAGGGTAAGGGAACCTCCTTGACTCTGATGTTGCCTGACATTGCTGGCCATTGGAGTTCAAGCACTGTTCTCTGATTTGCGCTGCAAGTTCCTAAAAGGGTCACCCGTGCCCTGGGTGCACTTTCCTCCATCCACACTCTCCCTGTCCCTTTGCACTATGGTTTCCTCCCCAGCACTCCAGCGGAGCCCTGTTGCAAAGGTCACCCCTTCCCCAGAACCACTGCCTCTCCCTCATTCTCATCCTGTCCGCAGTATTTGCTGCTGTTTGCTTCCTTCTGAAGTGCTTGTCACCTGCATTTGTAGAACTTCCGCCCTAGGCACTGGGCCACCTGAGCTTCGGTTGTGGGTTCTCTGCACTCTCCTGTCTTTTCCCTAGGTCTTATCTTTGCAAGTGGAATCTTGCCCACTCACTCTGTCTCCAGAGCCCTGGGATTCCTGCTGTTCCTCTGTAGCTGAATATATCCCTCTTGTCCCACTGGGCATGGCTAAAACTGAATTAAGCCTCTTCCTTAAAAGTAACCCCCTACACTTACCTATTTTCTTATCAAGTAACTGATGCTTAAAATCTCTTTCAAATATTTTATCAATCCCCAGATTATGTTTACTTCAAAATACCTTTCACATTGCTCTCTTCCATCCCTTGCTCACTTCCATTTTCTAATCATTCATTTTCCACTGCACTGTGAGATTACATTCTTAAACACTGCTTTATGGTGTGCATTTGATCAGAGTTACTAGCTTGTATGATTCCTTTGATCAGGATGTCCCTTACATATCAAAATACTGTGTTCAGGCTCCTTCTGTCATTCAGGACCCCTCTGGCATACTCCACTCCTCTTCACTGTGACCCGACCTGCTTTTGTAGCTCACTCACCTGAACACATTTTGCTAGTATTCTCCTTGTTACCCACGTTCCAGCTCACAAATGCCCCTTCCATGCCCCCTCCTTAGTCAAGTAGACAAAAATTCAAAAATGACCTTGTCCTCTCTCATGGATCATAGCATTTCATTTGTAAGTTTCTTGAGCACAGCGACTGGGACGTACAAATCTTGGTGGACACCACAGAGTAGCTGAGATATGTGCACATTACAGGATCACCACTTGACAAACATCTGAAGGAGCAGTAGGGTCAGTAACAGGGTTATAGGCATAGTGGCAAGTGCAGGTAGTCTTTGTAAGAAGGCACTCTTTACAACAAGGATATAGTTCAGTGACAGCACACCCCAGTGTACAGGAGGCCCTGGGTTCCATCCCCAGCACCCCCACATGCAAAAAGCACCCTTTAACTTCATTGTGTTAGAGACTTCATGGCGGATGAGGGCTTTGTATTTAGTAGTCTCAGTACAATGAATTAAATGGTCCCCTGAAAAATTTTAATTTTTGAGAAATAAGACAGTGTAATTGGTTTTAATTAGATGGAGGAAACTTATGTAACTATAGGGCATTGAAAGAATGCCTAACACGAGAATGTGACCTTTGTGTCATGGACGTCCCAAGTTTAAGCAGCAGTGTGTATGTGCACCAAAGGTGACACATGCATGTGGGTGGCCTCCTGGTGGCCAGCCTTGTGTAGGTTCTGTGCTCTCCGAGGTGCGCACAGGGGAGACCAGGGCCACTTTTAACCAGCACTTCATGTGAGTCCCTTAGTGACCGCCACCTGGCCAGAGACTGAACACACCGGACTCTTCCTGGGTTTGCCTTCGGTGTTTCATGTCCTTTAGTTACCACTAGATGTCCCTGTTGTATCCTCAGCCTGTGAGCTAGCCCAGAACTTCTGAAGGGCAGGCCTTCCAACAATGTTCAGCCTTGTCTAATAGTCCTTAGAAGGAAAAACTGAACATGGAAATTACTGTGAAAGTTTATACAGAAGGGCTTATAGCTATACTAGACCTTTCTTCACTTCATTCCTGCATACAAGTGTTATGTTAAACATCTGCAAATCAAACCTGAGGTGGGGCTGTACTGTAGAGAAAGTGGGAAGTGACCAGAGTCTGGCCCACAGCAAGCTGGTTGGTTAAGAGAGAGCAGGCAGGTTGCCTGGGAGAAAAGCACGCAAGATAGGAAACTCATTCACATCCCAACCTAAACTCCACTTAACTTTTCTAAGTGCGTGTGTGTGTGCGCGCGCACGCGCCCATGTGAATCTGCTTCTTAAAATATTTTTAAAACAAAATAAATTGGTATGTTCACCCCCTGGTCCCTACAGCCATGCTGTGACCCCAAGACTCCCAGCTTTCCTCTCGGCACTGTGCCATTGCTGCCTGGTGCCGGAGCCTTCCCTCCAGGCTTGGCGGAAGTGTGGACTTAGGGCTCCCCAGCTCCTTCCTGTCTTTGCCATCAGGGACTGCACAGAGTTGCTGTGAGTGCGGTTTGCAGGCAGTAGACAGGACAGCCAGTCTAACCACAAGAAAAAGAGATTACAAAACTCACACCAGGGTTTTTCTGGAAAGGGGCTCTACTGGGTAATACCTTTCATGGATGCTAAAAAAGCAAAGCCTACTTTGGATTTCTGCCCTTCTCCTTGTGAAGAGAGGAGAGGTGGCTGTGGAGCACCCTAACTCTTTCCCTTCCTTCTTGCCTGAGAACCAGGGAACCTGAGGACCAGCCCATCCCTAGACTGGGGTAATGTAGCTCTCTTGAGGCCTAGGCTCCCCAGTTCCCTGGGCCTCAGCCTGATCCTGGAGGGTCCCTCCTGTCTCTTCTTTACCTGGGAGGCGATTGTTCACATTACTAACCTCATCCCCACCACATATTATTCCTGGAGCTTTATTTTGATTATTGAATTTACCTATAGCATCTAAATATGTTGTCCTCTACATATAGTATTTTTTGGAACACAACTAGTGTTTAAAGGAAAGACCACCTGTATTTCCATTCCTGTTTCAAAAAATATAAGTAATCAAAAGGACTATAAAAGACCCAAGTAAAGATACGCATGATCTGTGTCTTTCTAAAAAGAAAAGAAAAATATCTATCCCTCCTTTGAACTCTCAGAGGAATGCTAGTTTTGGTGCTTTATTTTTATTCTTTAGCTTCCATATTTTGTATCCAAACTTTTGTCACATGATTACTTTTATGCAGTCTTCTTAAAATACAAATGACAGCTATCCAGTAACTGCTCAAATCTGTCCTGTCACAAGTCTCTGTTAAAGTTACTTTGTTCTTTTTTCTAATAGAATAAAATGTTAAATTTAAAACAACAGGGCATGCTGCTTGTATTTTAGCATAGTGAAAAATATTTGTTAATAAAATGAACATGATTGCTAAAACAGCCAAAAGAGTAATAAAACCAAGAAGTTACAGTCATTTTTAAGTTGGCCATGGTGGCAGGAGGATAGAAAGTGTGAGGCCAGCCTGGACAACTTGGTGAGATCTTACATCAAAATTTTAAAAAAGAGCCAGGAATGTCGCTCAGTGGTAGAGCACTTGCCTAGTGTGAGGCCCTCTTTTTGGTCCCCCAAAATTACTTTAAATTCTAAAGACATGTAAGGAAGCTACCTGTGAAAAATGCATTGTCAATAGAATAAACTTACTCAGTGGGTGATAATACATACTGCATGCTGTGTAAGCTACACATCTCATGGATCTCTGGTGATGCGTGAGAATTTCTGTCATTACTGTGATGGTCTGAGGACAGTCCTTGGGGAGCTCTTCATTATTCCCTGCTTGCTCAGGATGGTGCTTCTGAAGTGATACAGGCAGTAGAGTCTGAAATTTAGGAAATGGGCCGTACCACCAACTACCTCAGATAAATCACTTCGCTTATGGGACCTCGGACTCCCTGTCTGCTGCACAGGATTGTTACTGCTCTGAGGGATCTTGATGTTATGCCTTTGGAATTAGACAAGCCTAGATTCAAGTCCCAGGCCCACGACCTCCCAACTCTGGGCTAGCAAGCAAGGTATGGAGCCTGCCCTCACCTGTGCACAGGGGCCACTGGAGTTCAGTGGGAGCCCTGCTGACACTGGTGATGGTGCTAGACAGGACCGTCTTTTCCAGATCAGCTTTTAATGCCATCCAGCCATACCTGGGAGGTGGTGGCCTTCCCTGCTGTCCTCATCTCTTGCTCACTTCAGTCTTCATGCTGGAGGTAGCCACTCCACTCCATTCCCAGAGGTCTAAGGACAGTTTTGGTGTCTTGCCCGTAGGCACTTGTTCATGTTAGGCCCTCTCTCCATGTCATCTCACAAATGAAGCCCCTTCCTAATCAGACAGGTTGCTGACTTACCTTAAAGATCTGCTCTGGATGGGGTCAGTCGTAACCCTAGACTTCTAGTGCAAGGCTCTGCCAAGCCAGCGGTTCCAGCAGTCCAACATGGGAAACGTTCTTGTTCATTTGTTTTCTGGACTCTATTGTTTTCTTCTTCAGCGTCTATCATTTGAGACAAGATTGGTGTGTACTCACAGATTCTTCTGCTCCTTTCTTGCAGTGAGTGTGTCCGACTAAAGCCCACCGACATCCAGCCGGACATCTTCAGCTATCTCCTGCACCTCATGTATACTGGAAAGATGGCACAACAGCTCATTGACCCTGTCCGCCTGGAGCAGGGCATCAAGTTCCTGCACGCATACCCGCTGATCCAGGAAGCCAGCCTTGCCAGCCAAGGCACCTTTTCCCATCCTGACCAAGTCTTCCCATTGGCTTCCTCCCTGTATGGCATTCAGATTGCAGACCACCAGTTGAGACAAGCCACCAAGATCACCCCTGCACCCGAAAAACTTGGGCGGGACCCAAGACCTCAAGCCTCCAGAATGGGCCCAGAGCAGGTGCCGGAGGCCTCACAGCTGTCTCAACTGCCCCCAAACCTGGCCCAGGTGAACCGGACAAGCATGCCTTCCTCGGACCCCCTGCAGACCTCGCTGTCTCCGGAACTTGTCTCCACTCCCGTTCCTGCCCCTCCCGGAGAGGAGACCAATCTGGAAGCATCTCCCTCCGACGAGCAGCCTGCGTCCCTCACCATAGCTCACGTCAAGCCGAGCATCATGAAGAGGAACGGGAGCTTCCCCAAGTACTATGCCTGCCACCTATGCGGGCGGCGCTTCACCCTGCGGAGCAGCCTTCGAGAGCACCTCCAGATCCACACGGGTGTGCCCTTCATGGCCGGCCCTCAGGGCGAGAGCCGAGTGCCGCTGTCTCTCTGCAACAACGCCACTGACCTCGGCAAGGACGCCATGGAAGTGCCCGAAGCCGGGATGATCAGTGACAGTGAGCTGCAACACATCTCGGATTCCCCCATCATCGACGGGCAGCAGCAGTCGGAGACCCCACCACCCTCGGACATTGCTGACATTGACAACCTGGAGCAGGCAGACCAGGAGAGGGAGGTGAAGAGGCGGAAGTATGAGTGCACCATCTGCGGACGAAAATTCATCCAGAAAAGCCACTGGAGGGAGCACATGTACATACACACCGGGAAGCCTTTCAAATGCAGCACTTGTGACAAGAGCTTTTGCAGGGCCAACCAGGCCGCCCGCCATGTGTGCCTCAACCAGAGCATCGACACATACACCATGGTGGACAAGCAGACTCTGGAGCTCTGCACGTTTGAGGAGGGCAGTCAGATGGACAACATGTTGGTGCAGACCAACAAACCCTACAAGTGCAACTTGTGTGACAAAACATTCTCCACTCCCAATGAGGTTGTGAAACACTCATGCCAAAACCAGAATGCGGACGTCTTTGCCCTAGACGAGGGGCGGTCCATCCTCCTAGGCAGTGGGGACTCCGAAGTAACAGAACCTGACCACCCAGTGTTAGCTTCCATCAAAAAGGAACAGGAAACTGTGTTATTAGACTGAATGTTACTTGTCTTTTTTTTAAATTGTCATTTTTACGAAAACTATCTTCCTTCTCTTCCCTCCATTCAGAACCCTAGTTCTCTGTGGCATGATCTGACCAGGTCCCTGTTCCCTTCCCACCCCAACCCACTCCCACCTCTGTGAAGGCTTTGTGCATTATAAACCTGGAGTCTATTTACTTTCATTCAGGGGATATTGGAAAGATAATGGTTAGTAGAACTTATAAACTTAAATAGATTTTGAGATGTTTTAGATTATTTAAAAGCATACTTGGAACTAATTAAGGGTATATACAAAACAGAACAACTAAGACATAATTTGGTAAGCTAAAATTATGACTTTCCCTGGGTCATAAGTCTTCCTTTTCAGAAAAAAGCAAAGTCAGAAAGTACAACACGTGTCTAAGAGATAATTCTGGGCTCTGTGCTATACAAAATCTGGCGGGTATGGGGAAACTTTAAACCCAAGAAAACGTTTTCAGTATTTTACCTTCCAGGTGTCTTATTTCAGAACACATCCTTTGAGATTATGTCCAGTTAGGAAAAATCACTAGCTAAGAAATCTACTTGAACAAAACACAAAAGAGAAAAAGTAATAATGTGATGGCAATCTTAATTTTTGGATAAAACCTAACAAGCTGTGAGTTTGTGTGTTTGTAAGAAAAAACGTGTAGATACTTCCTATAAACAGGTGGATTAATGCACATGCCTTATCGAATTGCTGGCTTCTTTCCAAGTTGAACAACAGCAAAATGCTGTATTTTCATTTCTGACAAATGTGATTGTTTTTTAAAATCAGATTCTAAAGAGAAATGACATGTCATTTTCTAGCAGTTGCCAGTGGCAAATTTGTTTCAGTACCCACCCGCTGCTTTTAAATCAGTATATCTGCGTATATACTGGATAGGAAACGATACAGGAATATGCATCTTACTTACACAAAGTTGGGCAGAAGATGTAACTTTAATGACTTTAAAAGTCAATGCTAAAAGTTTACTGGCAACATTCATTGAAGCATCAAAAAATGGTAAAGAGAAATCAGGACAAAAAATCTTAATTGCTAGGGCTGGGGATGAAACTCAGTGGTAGAGCTCTTGCCTAGCATGCACAAGGCCCTGGGTTTGATCCCCACCTCCCTAAAAAATAAAACCTAATTGCTATTTGGGGAAAAACTGTATTCTCCAGTTTTTCTCTTTCGTTTTTTTTTTAACATCCTAAAATTTTCTCCAGTGGCCTGAAAGCAGTAAAAGTTGTCCATTAATATTCCTTTAGGCCAATAAGACAATGGTGTTACAGGATAAAATAGCCAGAAGTAAGGACCCAAGGGGAAAGGGAGGGGGAGAGTAGTTAATAGCTATACTGTATGTATATGTTAAGAACTGAACATCCCATCATTCTATTATATGTATAGTTGAGTTCTCAGATTTGTAAGTTTTTATACATACTTTCATTGAATAAACAAATGAGCATATGATTTTATCTCTTCTGTGTTCATCTACCCAAAGAGATGCGGGAAGGGAAAGTATAGAAGCATTGTACCCAAACCCATTGTCTTACTGGAAATGGCTTCCAAGAGAGTTCTCTAACCAGAATGGCCTTTTCCGCATGTGTAAACTGAAGAAATTAACTGCTTTTGATTGTGAAATCATGAGAATCAAATGAGTGAACTCTGAAGAGGCTGGAAACAGTCAAAGGTTGGCTCAGAATGAATCTAGAGATCATCTCACCCAGCTTGCTTTTTTTTTTGTACTGGGGATCGAACTCAAGACCTTGTGCTTTCAAGCCAGGCAGTGAAACCACTGAGCTAGTCCCCAGCCCTTACCCGGCTTTCTTTACAAGGAAGAAAAGGAGGTCAGGAGTTGCTCCCCTCAAGTTAACACAAACCTAGATTATTAAATGGAATCACTTCCATTAACTTCATCTTTTTTTAAAGAAACTACCACCATCTCCCAATCTAGAAGAGAGCCTTGTGCCATACTTGTGTATCTTTGAAAGGTTAAATCAGGTGAGCCTCTGAGGCCTCCACACCACCCTACAAAGCCTCAAGGACACAGGATGCAGCCAGAAGCAGAGTCTTGGAGATCAGAGTCCTGGGAAGCCCAAGGGTGAGCACAAGACACCAGCCAGCCCCTGTTCAGCTCCTGCCAGTGAACAGAAGGACAGATACAGATTTCACCCACTATTGAGGTCTGGCATCTAAATAGCAGGTGCCTTTAGCACCAGCCCATGGTCACGTCCACGAGGTCGACCTGCCAATCTCCCATCTCCCACAATGACAAGAAGAGCTGGGTACAGATATTCAAGCCCACCCTGCCCCCAAATGCTCATTGCCTATTCCAGACCCTAGAGGTTCTACAGTTTTGGATGGTCTCTAGAAAAGCTTTAGGAATCTTTGTGATGGATTAAGCCAGTGGTAGTGAACCTATGGCATGCATGCCACAGCCAGCTGTTGGTCATTGAAAGCTCAGTTTCACCATCACTAGAAGCCATCTGAACACGTACATGTCAGAATCAATTTGAGCTGTTCTAGTTCTAGTCCTGATTAACACCACTATTAGTTTTCCTTCCCCAATAGAAAATGACTCACTCAGGCCAGGCATGGTGGCACACACCTGTAATCCCACCACTCAGGAGGCTGAGGCAGGAGGATTGCTGTGAGTTCAAGGCCAGCCTGAACTACACAGAGAGACTGTTCAAGAAAGGAAAAAGAAAATATAAAATATGTTGCTAAAAAAAAAAAAAGCTTGTGAAGTGTAGTAGGGTTTCACCATAGGAAATACGCTTTAGTGTGGGGAGGGCATTCCTGTTCAAAAGTAGCGGTGGATAGCGGGTACAAGCAGGGAAAATAGTGATGCCCAACCTTCACATAGTTACAAGCCATTGTTGCTTTTGAAATCTCACTTTGCAAGAAAGGCAAAGAGTTGAGGCATCCAAAATGAACCCTTTGGTTCAAAATGTTAGGCCTTGGCCATGCGTTTCAGGGGAAAACAATACACATTGCTACATTTCAGTGGACTTGAACCCTGGGGAGGTTGTTCGGGAAGGATAGGGCATGGGGGGCCCTTCTCGCTCCAGCTGGGGCTCGTGATGGGGAGGGTGAGGCCCCTACACTACTCACTTGTTTCATACGGGGTGTATGGTTGATTGCAATGGAACCTAACTTGTTCAAGTTGACATCTGCTTTTTCATGACAATTTTCAGGCCCCTACTAATATTTTAATTGTGTTGGGCTTGGTTTTAGTTCTCCATTTTGGTCTAGGACAAATGATCACTATACATTTGTAGGGAAGCAAGATTAGGCTTAAACATTGTTAGGCAAATAGTCATGTGTCTCAATGCAGAGCAAGTAATCTGTCCTTTCTTAAAGAAAGGCTCCTTAAACAGAACTGTAAGAATATTAACTGTTAGCAGCTCTCACAGATAAAAATTAAGAATTTTTAGTGTGAAAAAATAGACCAGGATGAAATGATATTCTCTAGTTTCATTCTCTTTGGCAGATCACAGTATTTATGAGCATAAAGAACTTGTTAAATTCGTGAATCAAGCTTGTGTTATTCACTGGAAAATGGATAATGAATAATTGTCATGCCAGAATTCCCAGATCCTGAAGAAGACGCCTTGTGAAAAACCATTGTCAACCAGAAGTCTGAATGGGGGAGAGCCTGTGGGTGGATTGGGTGTCTGCCTACAAGGTGCATGTTTTTACAACTCCTAATTCTGTGAGACATGTCTCCCGTTTTTTAAATGAAAACCTGAGGCCCAGAAGTGTTAAGTAACTTTTCTGAGGTTACTCTACCAAATAGAGACAGCCAGGATTCAAACCCCATATGACTTACTCAAAAAACAGTATTCTTTCTACTTAACACCTAACATATCATTTGACCAGCCCTAGGCAATTAATTGTTTTTTGTTGTTGTCATCTTTTTTTTTTTTGGACTGGGGATTGAACCCAGGGCCTTATGCAAGTGTTCTGCCACTCAGCTACATCTCCAGCTCTTTTTATTTTATTTTGACATTGGGTCTCACCAAGTTGGATAGGCTGGCCTCCAACGTGGGATCCTCCTGCCTCAGTCTCCTGAGTAGCTGAAATTATAGGCATGTGCCACCATACCCAGCATAACAAACCTATCATTTAAGAAAAAAGAAAAGCAAGAGTCAAGGAGTAGAAGGCATCTGGGCTATTTTTTTGTATGTGGTTGGCTTTAGACCTAAATTTGTCCAAATTATAAAAGAACAATGTTATTTTCTTGCATATGAAAACATTTCTAAGCTAGACGTAACTGGAGGAAAGGGGAAGGAAAATCATTTTTACCTGTTAACCTCTCCATTCTGCTATTAAGGCAATTGACTGAAAGCCATTTTATATCCTTATAGTACCACGGTGGTCTTCAAACGTACGTGCCACAACATCTCCTGGAGGTTTGATCAACAAACTGCCCACCCTGCTCCTGGAAGGTCTAATCCAGTGAGATGGGATCAGGCCCAAGAATTTCTAACAGGTTCCCCGATGGTGCTGGTGCCAGGACCCTGCTTTGGGAACCATGGCATTATTGTGTCATTTCTGCTATAGCTTTACCGAGCTTGCCTGTTTCTACTGGCGGCTCTGAATGATAAAACCCAGAGGAGCTGACCAAGGGGCAGGAAGGGATCGGTGCCATTCCTAGCATACTTCTTTCTTTGCAGCAAGGTGTGCGACACATGCATCTGCACATGAGCCTTTAGAAGTACGGGGTTGAAAGGCTCTGGGATTTATTCTAACCCCCCCCCCCGCCTCGTTCTAAATTTCCTTGTAATCTGTGAGCACAGAATAAGAATTTAGAATAATAACAAACAATAAACCAAATCCCCTAAATCTTTCCCAGAGGTCACCTGTACCATCCTCTGCCAGGATCCAGATGAGGAAACAAAGCTGCATTAGGTAATTTATTAGCCAAAATCATATAGCTTCTTTGCCCAGTTTGTAATTTCAGAACTCTGGGAGACTGAGGCAGGAGAACCACAAATTCAAACCTAGCCTGGGCAAAGTAGCAACTTAGGGAGATTCTATCTCAAAAAAACAAGACAAAACAAAACAGGATGCAGATGTAGCTCAGTGTGAAGGCCCTGGATTCATTCCTCAGTACCACAAATCAATCAATCAGCCAATCAATCATACAACTTCTGCAGAGTATGGATTTCCCAAGAACTCTTCTGAACCATTACACTGCTTAGGAAATCCTAGCTTTTTTTTTTTTTGGTACCAGGGATCGAAATCGGGTCCTTGTGCTTGCTCAGCAGGCGAAGAAACCACTGAGCTACATCCCCAGCCCTCAGGAAGTATTTATACTTTCTGAAGAGGACTCAGCTGAGATGATATGACTGCGCCCTAAATCCCTGTCTTTCTATGTCATGGACCAAAATTTGTGAATGAGATTTTAGGAAATGTCCTAAGGATCTGTGTAGTGCATTATTTTCCCCTAATGTGTCTCATGGATATCGAGAGGGCATTGATATCTCCATCTCATAGCCTCCTTTGCGAGACCTGTATATTTCACTGTCAACATCAGTGCTTGTCTTTGGATACTTCACAGGCATCTCAAATTGAACGTTCCACCGCACTCCTGTCACCCCAGGGCCCTGGGAGGCTGAGACGGGAAGATCACAAGCTTGAGCCCCACTGGGCAATTTAATTTAGCAACTTAGCAAAACCCTGTCTCAAAATAAAGAATTTAAAAGAGCTGGGGATATAGTTCAGTGCAAAGGTCCTGGGTCAGTTTCCAATACTAGAAAAAAATTGAGCATTTCCCAATCAACTCCCCCAACCCCAAGTCAGAAAGTGACTCCATATCCAGGTTCGTGCTACAGAAACGTCATTCACACTACACTGTTCCCAGGACAATCAGATACCATGCACTATTGATTCTGTCCTCTGAGAGCTCTCAATCTCCCCTACAGCTCCTCAGCCAAGCCTCCCCATCACTGTCCCTGCCAGCTCCTTACTGGATTAACTTTAACAGTGGGTTACTCAGGCTCCTCCCAGTATCGATTTCAGTTCCCTGCAAGTTAGATACTACCGGCATTTCAGAGAAACTCTTGCTTACACAGGGCTGCTCTTGCAGGATATCAAACTTCTGTGCCTCCAGCTCATGGCATACCAGTAACTCCTAGCCACTGTGATACCCAGAACATGGGCAGGGCACACAGGGCCACAGAGTGGGGCACTGTCACAGCCCAACACACTTAGGAACTGGGTAGGTGGAAGAACCGCACCACCTCCCTTGTAGGAGAAGCCCTACTTGGGATGCCCTGGCCACCTCTGCGGTATCGTTCTGAGAAAATCTTAAATAGTTCCACAGGTCAGGCTTGAGTGCTGAAGGCAGGCCCACCTGCTCTTCCAGGTAAGCTGCTGGGGCAGCAGGTAGACTCAAGCAATGTGGTTTTGTTTTGCAGTACTGGGAAATGAATCCTGGCCTTCACACTGAGCTACCTCTCCAGCCGTTTTTATTTTGAGACAGGGTCTCAATCACCAAATTGCCTGGGTTGGGCTGGAACTTGCAGTCCTCCTGCCTCAGCCTCCCAGAGTGCTGAGATTTCAGGCGTGCACTACCACGTCCAACTCACAATATGGTTTTTAAATTAGCCTAATTTATAGCATTGCTTTTGTGCTCACTAATTATACCAAGTTAATTGGGATTGTTAGAATAGAAAAGCATAGGGTTGAGAGTTAGTGCAGCGCTTTATTCTCCAGTACCCGCTGTGGGAAAATAACTTACTGTGCCGGCATTTTGTCATTTAGGAAGTGTTCCTCCACCTCTGGTCTCCAAACAGCATTGTAGGGAAGCTCTGAAGAGGTTACATGTAAAACCCACCCCGGTCCTGCTCTCACTTATTTTTGTGGTACCGGAAATTGAACCCAGGGCCTTCACAATGAACTACATCCCCTACCTTTTATTTATTTATTTATTTAACTTGAGACAAGATCTTTTCTCAGATGGAGCTCAAACTTGCAATTGATTGTCCTGCCTCACCCTCCAGAGTGCTGGAATTATAAGCATGTGCCACCATGCCCATCTTTACACTGTTAGTGTTGTAAGACGTGAAGGAATATGCAAAGGGAGGAGAGAACGTCACTCATCATGGCAGCATGTGACGGTAAAGACACCTTTCAGGTTGAGATATCTAGGAGACTGGACTGGTTACTAGGATGGGGTAGGATGTTTTTTAAAGTCATGATAATTTCACCACTATGCTATTCCCAAGCCCCAGTCAGCTTGGCCAGAACCAGCACTTTCGTCCAACGGCTCACCTTTCTCAGATGTAGTTTGGACCCGGATCCTTCCCTGATTCCAGTGACAGGCTGGGGACAGTGATGGTGAGGAGAGACTGGCCTGTGTATAAGAATTGTGTGGTATGCTGTGCTCAGCAGACCCATTTCCAGAACCCAGTTAGAGAGGAAGAGTCTGCAACGCTAGCTTTTGTTTTTTTGGTTGGACTATTCAAAAACTACATCAAACTGTGTCTGTGTGATCAGCCAGAAGGTTACTGAGATTCTGACCCAAAGGGCCAGGCCCCAAAAAGTTAAGAGTCACTGATAGGAACTTTTGTGTGCTCACACGCATCCCAGGTAAGTTCATTTCCATTTTCCCGTGATGCTCTCTGGACAGCATCACCAACAAAGACTCAGAACTTAAAATGTGATGAATATCACAACAGCAAAGAGGAGCAACACAAACTGAATCAAGGTGAAATTACAGAGAAAACCCATGGCATTTAATTACATTGTATTTTATTTAATGAAAATTGGCCCCAAACAGAAGTAGGAATCAAATATTGTCTTGGAGTAAAGGTAACTGCTAAGCTTGAAGCTTACATTGAAAGCTAAAATTTCCAGCCCCTGACTATCTGTAGTTCCAAACATCAAAGGGAAATACTGGAACAAAGGATCTATGTACACAGAGAGGCAACTCATGGGTACCAGTAAGCAAAATAACCTGAGGGAGAACATTTGTATTCCTCAAGTACAAGAAGTAGCAAGAGTTTACAAGTCTGGCAGCATCGCTTTCTATTGTACAGGGTTCTACAGTAATGCCAAAAATTGCAAAATTGAGGCACTTGCTCCAACGTCTGCAGTTTACAGTTGATTATGCTCATAAATTAACAGCAGCTTTAGAATTACAAAACAGAATTGCATTTCAGGCTACTGTTCCTCTTGTTAATAAAACAATGTGACTGAACAGACCTAGCTTGTACAGAAGCGACCCAGGGCACGTCAGGTAACAGTACAAAGGGCGCAGTCATGAAGCAGCTACCACTGGAAAGCCCACCGTGATGGCCAGGCCCTTGCCCATGTGTGGCAACAAGAGGGGACAGCTGCATGTCTCATCTGTTCAAAGCAGCGGTGTTTTTCCTGTCACAGGGAGGAAGTTGGTGCGAACACAAATCGTCATCTCCAATACTTCTTACCGATCTTCAGAAACTGACCTCTAGACTTGGGTTTCTTTGTAAGTCTTAGTTGCTCACATGCCAAAGCTTAAATCTGGTAATGTTTTGAAAATAGTAGTGGAGACTGAACCCAGGGGTCCTCTGCCAGCCCTTTTTACTTTTGAGACAAGGTCTCAACTCAGTTGCACAGGTTGACCTCATCCTTCCTCAGCCTCTGGAGTAGCTGGCATTATAGGGATGCGCCACCATACCCGGGGACATTCAGGTATTTTAACATTTAGTAATTACACAAGATGGCTGTTAGGTATATTTGAAAACACTACTAATAGGATATTAAATTTAGTTTTCTGACTATGAGACCATCCACTGCTACCACAAGGTAGTTACTAGCATGGCCAATTATTTATGTAGTCAGGTTTGTTAACATAAGAGAAACTCCTTCCAATTTTAGTGGCAAAAATTTTTGCCACTAAAAGTAGGCTTTCTAGAATATCATGCTTTTAAAGGTCATTAATTGGCAGTCGCACTTTAAATTCTCAAACTGAAGTACTGAGGGTGAGTCAAACATCAGCTTCACCAGGCCAGTTCTCTGTGTGAGATAAGTGTAACTCTACAGTAGGCGACAGCCTGTTCTTTGAAAACAATTGTGTGGCAAAATCCTTTATGTATGAGCATGATTCATCACATGGACACTTAAAAGCTTTTTCTAAGATCATATGTTATTTAGGCAAAGAATGCTCACCATTAAGCCTTCTTAAACTTTCTTTCTACAAATATTATTTGAAAACCAGAAATATTATCAAGGAAAATTGACTTTTTCAGGAATTACCACATGTAGAACTGTACCCAAAGTGTCTGAAAAGCTAGTAGTTCACTTTAGAAAATGTGTCTCTGCCATGGCTTCCTCTGAACTGAAAATCCAACTCAAACCAGCATAAAGTGTTCAGTTCTCATTGGTTCACGTAGTGTTTACATTAGGGATGCTCCATCTTACTCTAACGAGATAATAGGTCCTCACTTCTAGTGCCTAATAAAACCAGCAAACCTAAGTGAAAGCAAGTGTTTTATTTAAATCAGTTGTTAAATCACAGTTTATCCAAATGAACATAATGCCACACTGTTCGTAAAAGAAGGGGCACAAATATGACACAGACAGAATCCAGTATCTATCAAAATACATTTGGAAAGAAGAAAACTTGACTCGTTTCATTCTGTGAGCGAATGTGGTCCAGCATATAAGAGCAGAGTCAAAAACTTACAACAGTCAATTATTTTCTATATAATATGAAAAACATTTTACTACGCTGCCTTGGTATTAAGCACACTCTTCTGTCCAAACCACCGTAACAAAATCAATTAGGAGAACAGACTAACAAGACTATATTTGTTAGTGGAAAAAAACTTCCTTCCAACTTCCGCTGGACTAGAAAGAAAAATTTCACAGTAACTATGGAACATTCTGTGTGTTTCAAATGCTTTTTATGTTTAGCTCGCTGTGCATAATAGCAAAGTGACCAGTTTGTGAGTGCTACACTAAGTATGGACCTCAGCTTTAGTGGATTTGTAGAATAAGAATTGTACCTTCTCACCAGGAATGTTATTTCTTGGAAGCTGTTTTTCACGGGTGTAAACGAGGCTTTAAACTTCCCAAGGCTTCCCCATAGCTGCACACCCTGTCACATACTGTGTGATATGAAAGGCATGTACTATGCTGGACGTGTCTTTAAACACCAAGAAAAAAATATACAACAGATACAGAAGGAGGATTACTCAAAACACATATAAATACATTAAGAACGATACTCCAGTTTGAGAAGTAGAACTAGGTATTGCCAACTCCAGTTCCAGGTCAAGAATTTAGGGCTTCAATTCAGAAATATCATGATATCACGGGAAAGTAATAGGTGGTCTTGAAAAAAAACGCAGTGTTAGATGGCTATAGCTCCTGATGAAGCCTCAGGATTGTTGGGGGGCGCTCTGGACGTGAGATCAGTAGGGGGCCCACTCTCTAGTTCTCAAGTTCTGAAATATTGGTTTCGAGTCTCAGCAGCAGCATTTTCTTCCGTGGCTTGTCTTCACATTCTGGTCTTGCAAATATACAATGACATTAACTGTAGAAGGAAGCAGAATAAATAAAATCTCCTTTTTCTCTACCATTTATTAACAACAGAATAGCTGTGCAAGTGAACTGTAGCTAACCAGGAATCATATTAACACTAGATTTTAGTCCATCAAAAAGAGAAAGTGCAGTGGGGTTCCAGAGCCTGCCACGCAAGCGCAAGGTCCCGAGTTTGATCCCCAGTACCGAGAGAGAGAGAGAGAGAGAGAGAGAGAGAGAGAGAGAGAGAGAGAGAAAATGGCCAGGTACAGTGGTGCATGCCTACAATCCCAGCACTTGGGAGGCTGAGGCAGGAAGATTGCAATGAGTCTGAGACCAGACTGAACTGCACAGTGAGACACTGTCTTCACAAACACACAAACAAACAAACTTAAAAAATTAAAAATAGAGGCCCGGGATTTAGCTCAGTGGCGCCATGCTTGTCTCACAAGTGCAAGGTCCTGAGTTTGATCCCTGGTACTGGGGTAAAAAAAATGATGTTAAAAATTAAAAACAAAACATGAGGGTGCATATTATATTATACCATGCTACCACAAAACTAGCAATATTGTATTGTATATATAAAGTATTGTAGCAATACTTTCTGTCAGGCCTTGGAAAATTTTTTTAAATACTTGTTAATATTGGAAAAACTCCCCCCTCCAAAGCACTATAAACCGAATTTGTGATATAAACTTATTTCTGGCTGCTAATTATTATTTTTAAAATCTCAACTAGTTGGCACCATGCTGAGCAACCACACTGTCCTCCTTCCTTCTCTCTCTCTCTCTCTCTCTCTATCTCTTTCTTTCTTTCTTTCCCAGGGATTGAACTCAGGACCTTTCATTTGAGATGCAGGTGGCAGCACCACTGAGCTAAATCCCCAGCCCCAGCACACTGTATTTCTTACACTTTGAGCCAAACACACACACACCCCTTTCTTTTCTTTTTCTTTTTTTTTGGTACTGAGGATCAAAGTCAGGACCTTGTTGCAAGGCTTGTTCAGCGCCACTGAGCTAAATCCCCAGTCCCTCCTTCTTTTTTTCTACAGCAGTCGCATGAGAGGTAAAATGAAGACATTGTTTTCATGACACCAATAAGACTAAAGTGGTATTTCAATAAAGGGAGAAAATGCAACTACTCTAGATCTCTTTTTCTAGCTGATCCTTATTTCCACAACTGAAGGTTATCCAAAAATCACGTATTTGAACTCCTGAGATTCCCTTATAACCAATTTGCTGTCTTCTGACATAAAAAAAGGGGAAATGACCTCAGAAGAAAAGGAAAGTTACTTACAAAGTGCCTTAGGATTCTGCCGGCTCTCTCCCTCCTTTCCGCTGCTCCTCTTCTGTTTGCGGTTTGATGTCCTTCTCCGACTCACTGTATGCCTTTCCTCCCTTAGCTCCTGCTTCCTCCTCTGTTAGTTTTGGTCCGTTGGTGTCTGAGGACTCTTTGGTTAAGCCTCCTGGGGCGGCAGGATCTGCCAAGGCTGAGTCCTCGGCAGCATCCTCTTTCTCGTCTTCTCTGGATTCAAGAGCTGACTTGTCCATTCTTCCTCCGGTCTCTCCACAGCCATCATCAGTTGCTACAGGCTTTGTGCCCATTTCATCGCTCTCTGCCTGGGCTGGGGCAACCACCTCTTTAGACTGCTGCTCATTCACACCGGAGCCTCCAACCTCAACTGTCGGGGTCTCTTCTGAAGCTCCGTTCACATCTTTGGAAAGCTCGGGAGCCACAGCAGCGAGCTCGGGAGCCACAGCAGCGAGCTCGGACTCATCCCGGGTGGCGACAGTTTGTGTTTCATCCTGCACAGACACCTGTTGTCCACTGGCTTCTTCCACAGGTTTCTGTCCAGGTCCCTGGCTGTCGGCTGGCACCTGGGGAGCCTCTTTCTCTATGTCAGATGCTGTTTCCTCTGGCCGGGAAAACTGGTCCACAGCTGTCTGGATTATGTTTTGCACAAGCTTACTGCTCTCAGTCTCAAGTTCCAAGATCTGATTTTCAGCCTTGGGACCGCCCTCTACTGCCAGGCTCACTGTACCTTCCAGACAGCCAACTTGCCTGTCATCTTCATCTGCCTTCTGCTTCTGGGATGCACGGTTCTCTCCCTGCAGGTCCGAGTGCAGGTCTTTCTCAGGAGTGGCAGACACTATGACTAGCTCTGATTCCATCTGAGGCTCAGTCCCCACAGGGACAGCATCGTCTCCCAGCTGAAGAGTCCAGTCCCCGACCTTCCCTGGAGATCTCTCTGCTGGTTCTAAATGTGCAGGCTCCACGGCGTCACTTGTTTCTGAAATCCTGCCGGTTTCTCCTAACACCTCCTCCTCCGCTGCCGTAGGTACAACAGTCACTAGTGCCTCAGTGCTCTGACCTTGAGTCTCCACACATCCTGCTTCCTCCTCTGGATCTGAAGGAGGAGAGCTTCCATCTAAACTGCTTACCTCCTTTTCCCTGTCTGTGACGTTTACGTCAGCCATCTGGACTAGTTGCTGGTTGGGCTCTTCGGCTCTGGGACCGGCTGATTTTTGCTCAACTTTTTCTTCACTGTCTTGTACTGCCTTTGCATCAGTGTTCTCCTTTTCTACTTGAGCTACCCTCTCTCCCTCTTCTCGGCCTGGACTCTGGAGTTCTGTGTTACCACCATCCTTTTGACAGTCTGCCCCTTCAGTCAATTCACCTGGAAGAGGAACTTCAGTGGCCTTTTGCTGACTGGCCACGTGTGCAGATGTGACAACTTCAACACACGGTCTGTCTTTGGCTTCCCCACCAGCAAGCAGGCAGGCCTCTCGAATCACCTCAGTCTTGGACACTATGGGTACGCCTTCCACTGATGGCTCTTGATCCTTATGTTCTAGACTATCTTCCGGTTTTAATTGTTCTGTATAGTCTTCCTGGGATTGAAAACTTGGTGGTGCTGAAGGCCCCTCTTTCTGGACAGGAGCTGCCTCTACCTCTGTGGCCTGTGGCTGAGTGCCAGATGCAACTGCACCGTCTCCTTGCCCTTCTGTGACCTCATTTTGCTGTATTGTACCTAGCTCGTCAGTATCTGCCACGGGGGTGCTTCCGTTGGTCTCACTGTCTGTTGGGGTATCTGCTGAGTCAGGGAGAACAGACTGCTCTGGGGGCTGCACCCCAGCTAAGGGCTCAGATTGGCACGTGGTTACCAGCTCCCTGGACTCTACCCTCGCTGTGACTTGAGGAACTTTCGCAAAGCCTTCAGGGGCAGCCTGTGCTATTACCTCCCCTCGCGTAAAATGTTCAGTTTTAGTTTCTTGTATGTTTACTCTCCACACTACATCCATCTCTTCCTTCAGATCTGGTTCATCGGAGTCTTCTTCTGCTTCCTCCACCTTCTCAAGGGCTTTTGGTTCTGCTTTCTGCATGATCAGAGTCACACCTTCGGCCCCACTGCTGTCTGGCACCTGTGACTTCTCTTTTACTTTTTCTGCAACTGCCTGTAAGACAGCCTGGGTCTGCCGCTCCTGCTCTTCTGCATCTGGCCCTCCGCTTTCCACCTCCTGGACTGGGGTGGCTTCCTCCGTGGTGTCTGGGGACTCGGTTAGCTGGGAAACTGCGGACACCATCTCTGTGGTCTCTTCTGCGGCTGATGCTTCGGTGGCTTCTTCAGCACAGAGCACCTCCGTGGTCTCTGCAGCTGTCACTGCCTCAGAAGTTAATGCCACTTCACTAGTGATCGTGTCATCAGGGGCACCTCTGCTCTCAGGGAGAGTGCGGGTGGCTGTGAGGAATTCTTCTGCAATGACTTCTCTTTCAGTCCCTTCCTCAGTTGATGGTGTGGCTTCACCTTGTGCTTGTTCAAGAGGCTCTGTCACAGAGGCAGATATCCAAGAAGGAGACCGCTCTTCCACACTGGTAACTGCCCTTGCCCCATCGATGACAGCCACTGCTGCACAATGAACCAGATTCTTGCCGAGTTCCTCAGACACATCCACACCCACCTGTTGCTCAGGGGTGGCTTCGCTTCGGGGGGCTTGCTGAGCTTCCATCTTCTCCCTTTCCACGGCATCATACTCGGACAGAGGCACTACAGCCGGGACATCAGAATCCTCTTCATTGATTTCTGCGGGCCCTGTGTCTCCAGCAGTGACTTGTTCTTGTTTCCCATCTGACCTTTTCTTCCTCCATCCAGGGATAAATTTCTTAATTGAAACCCAAGATTCTTCTTTCCCAGGTTCAGCATCTGAAGCTGAATGCTCTACACCACTGGACTCTTCGTTTTTCTCTTCCTGTTTTGACTTGGATTTTTTTCTTGGGGTCACTAATCTTTTAAATGACTCCCAGGTGGAAACGCCCTCCCCTTCGGAGGGGCTGCCGGCTGGCTCAGGGGAGGAGCTTCCCTGCCCTTGGTCAGGTTCCTGGGTGCCAGCAAGGACAGAGTCGTTTCCGGTTTCTTTGTCTCTGGCAGCCTCCTCTGCTTTGCGGCCGTCTCCTCCCATCGTTTTTGGTCCTCCCTCCTCATCAGAAGAGGAGGCTTTCCTTGCTCTTTTCTTGGATGACCCCACACAAATCAACACCTCCCAAGACACCGAAGTGTCCACCTTGCGCTTCGGCTCTTCGGGCTTTTGCTCTTCCCCAGCGCCTTTGATTTCTTCTTGCATTTCGGAGGCTGCACTCTCTGTGGAAGACAAGGTGGCGCTCTTGACCCTGTCCGGCTTGTCCAACTCGTCCTCCTTATCACTTTCAGAAGGCCTGCGAACACGCTTCTTGGGCGTCACCATCTTCTTGAAAGATGCCCAGGGAGTAACACCTTCTCTCTTTTTCTCTCCATCGGAAGTAGCTCCTTCTTCAGCCTCTCCTTCGTGGTGGCCCTCGGTGATCCCCTTCTCCAGACACGTGATCTCCTCGGGTTCTTCAGGGGAGGAAGCGGAGCTCTCACCCTTCTCATCGGCACTATCCGGAGACTCCGCTGCCCCTTGGTTATTTTCCCCTGACTCCTCATCTCCTCCTCCTCCTCGTCTCCCCTTCTGTTTCTTTCCAGAAAGCTTCTTTAAGCCGGTGCTGGAGAACAGTTTTTTCAGGGGGCTTCCCTGCACCTTGGTTCTCTCTTGTGATGACAGCACGGCCACCTCACTCACGATGCTCTCGGGCTGTTTGGGCAACACCTTTCCATCGGGACTCAGCTCTGTCGGCCGGGCGTGGTCTCCAGAGTCACACGCTTCTTGGGTCTTTTCCAGCTCCTCAGCGAGTTCAGCTTCCTGAGTTTCCTGAGCACTTGCTTCCACCAGTTTTTCAGGTGGCAAGGATTCTACTGTTTCTCCCACACCTGCTTCTTGCTCCCCCATTTTCTTCTCCATACTGCTGATGTGGACTTCGGCAACAACTTCTTGGTGGGCTTCTACTTTTTCATCAAATACTTCCGTGGCCAACGGAGCACATTTCTCTGCAGAAGAGCCCTGCACACCACTGACTTGACCTTCCAAAGGCAACTCCACCTTCTCGTAGTCAGCCGATAATCTGGCCTCATCCCCGCCTTCCACGGGCTTCTGGGGCTGCTCAGAAGCCGTGAGCTGCTCAGGGGTATCTTCTGCCTTCTCATTTTCCTCTGTGTCTGCCTTTGCTGGCTCTTGCTCCTTTTTCTTCTCAGAGGCTTCCAGTTCATCCTCCTTTGGCTTCCTGAAACTGGTCTTTTTGCGCCAACCGGCCCAACCTTGGGTGAAGAATTTCTTGAAGGTTGATGCAGTCTCGCTTGTGACTGGGCTGGTGGGAGATTCTGGAGATTTGGTGGGTTCTTTTTCTCGTGCTGCTTCTCCTTCATCTTTCCCTTCTGCTATCATTTGACCAGACTCAGGTGTGAGAGGAATTTCTGTGTTGCTCTGCTGGTGCTTAAAGGTGTCTTCCACCTTCTCGATGGATTGTTTTCGTTCAGTTTCTTTGGCTGCTGCCTCTCCGGTATCTATGTTGGGCTCTCCAACATCACTAGCCTGGGCCTCAGTAGGCCCTGTTACCTTTTCTAAGTTGCTTTCTGAAGAGGGAATCTGTTCGACTATTTCAGGCCTTTGCTCCTGCTTATCCTTCATGATGTCCTCCACAACCACAGAGTTGGCCGCCATGTCTTTATCCAAGTCTTTCTGACTCACATCTTCGGGCTCCCTCTGTCCAACTGGTAACAAAATGGGGCAAGAAAGGAAAAGTGAGTACAGTTCCCAAAACTCAAGCATTTTAAAAATATGACCAATACTCTTGTTAACATCAGGTAACTCCAGGCCATGGTAGTGAGGGTCTTATGGTTATTTGCACATCTTCAAAATTAGGCAATGTCTGCCTCTTCCAAATGAACTTTTAAAATTCAGGTTCAAAGGTGCTACTCTACTTTTCTGTTCTCTGTTAAAGGGAAGTTAACAAACTCAAACATCAAAAAAATTATTTTACACATAAGTAGTATCACTAAGGATAGAACGACCAGAGAGCATATTTTCTGTTGAAGTGTTGGAATCACACACCACACCTGTGGTTTTCAACTAAAATCCATCAAGTATCAGAGGTAACTTTCACTTTGTAGGAAGTAAAGCATGAGGGACACAAGGTGGGGGTGGGGGGTGGGGGGGAATAGCTTATTGGTGGAACACCCCTAGGTTCAATCCCCAGTACTGTGAAGAAAGAAAAAGATCTAAGGTATTTAACAGCAGAAATGCCTGCCCTGGTCCTAAATCAGATATTCATTAGGGCAACTAATAAAAAGACTCTCGTGAGGCTTCTTGGGAAAATCTGAGTGTGGTTTAGGATTAGGTGTGGCTTGTATCTGGATGTCCCTCCAAAGCCTTATGGGGCCATGGGTGGGGAGTTTCGAAGGTGGCTGGATTGGGGTGTGTGAATGTGGATAAAGAGTGTGATGCTGGGATTCGGGGTGTGGGTAACAGAAGCCCAACCTGGGTGTGGGTGGCACCACTCACAAGGCTGGTAGCCCAGATGGGATAAAAGGGAGAGGCAGGCATGGCTGCTGCTGCTTCTACAGCTTGCTGCCTTCTCCTTGCCACACCATAACCCCTCTGCCACGCCACCCTGCCTGGGACCCAGCCAGCTATGGACTGAAACCTCTGTGAACTGCAAGCTACAATAAACCTTTCCTCCTTAACTTATGGGTGTCACTAACACAGTGAGATCAGTCTTTACTAAAATGAGTAGAGACTTTGACTTAAGAAAGGAGGTCACAAATTTTGGTGTCTCTCTCTCTCTCTTCACACGTGACCTTTGCAGGGTGAGAATACAATATATTTTAGTTTTGCTTGTCTGAATTTTCTAATTTTCTATGCAGGACGTGTTCTGAATTTGACATAAAAAAGGTCTCAATAAAAGGTGTACAAGGACATAGGGGAAAGGGAACCCTTCTACATTGTTGGTGGGAATGTAAACCACATCTGTTATGGAAATCAGTATGGCAATTCTTTAGAAACTAAAAATAGAAATTCCAGTTGACTCAGCTATACCTCTCCTGAGTATCTTCCTCAAAGACTAAAGTCATCATATGACAGCGATACATGCATGCTCATGTTTACAGCAATGCAGCTCACAATATAGCAAAGTCATGGAAGTGACTTATATGCCTATCAATAGATGAATGGAGGGGCTGGGGATTTAGCTGAGTGGTTCCGGTGCCTGCCTCGCAACCGAAAGGTCCTGAGTTCGATCCTTGGTACCAAAAAAAAAAAGAGAGTTAGTGCCCTTAATCCTATTAAAAAAAAAATAGATGAATGGATAAAGAAAATGTCTAATTGTCAATCCTATTCATGTTTTTTTGTTGTTGTTTTGTTTTGTTTTTTTGGTACTGAGGACTGAACCTGGAACCTTGCGCTTTCAAGGGAGGCGGCGGAACCACTGAGCTAAATCCCTGGCCCCAAGAAAAGAAGATATATTTATATATATAATATTATATTAATAATATATATACACACACACAAGGGAGTACAACTCAACCATAAAGAATGATAAATTTGACTCATTTGTAGAACAGTGGATGGATCTTGAGACAACACTAGTAAGTGAAATAAGTCAGTCACAAAAGGTTAAGTATTGCATGGTTTCTCCACTATGAGAGACCCAAAATGTAAATAACTTGAAGAGCAAAACTAAAAGAGCCATGGTAAGAAACAGGGAGACAGACTCTGCAGAGAGGGAAAGGGAATCTGGAGGAGGGGAGGGTGGGGAGGGGCAGAGGAAGGAAACATGAAGATGTGCTGTGTGTTGTTCCAATCCCCCAGCTGAATGCAGTCACTAAGTATTGCAAACATACACTAATAATGTAAAAACATACTTAATGTCCTCAGCGTGAAATGAAGCTTAATTTTAACCAGCTCCTGCACCAACACTTAGAGCATAGAAGCAATTAATACCGACATATTTGGAAACACAGATATAATATGCTCCCCCAAATTCCATAAATGCTTTTCATTTATATCGTTTTAGGGACCCTAAAATAAAATAAAACAAACAATTTATTTTCATATTTATGAAATACTACCAGGGCCGAGGATTTAGCTCAGTGGTTCTGCCGCCTGCCTCGTAGGTGCAAGGTCCTGAGTTCGATCCCCAGTACCAAAAAAAAAAAAAGTGAAATACTACCAACGCATGTGAAATATTACCAATGTAAGTCTACAAACCCCCTGTGCTCTTGATTGGGAGTTATTTTGAAACAGAAGTCCTGAAAGTTAAGTGCACAGCTTCCTGAGCTGCCACTGAGAGAGGAGCACCCAGCAAGCTCGGGCTCCACACCGGCTGAGCTGTAGGTTCACCCAACGAGCCTTGTCTTTTCTTTCCTTCTTTTCAGACATGACTGGGTTCGGGGAAATAACAGATAAACTCTGCAGGAGATATGGGCCTCTTGTTCTTCACGGTCAAGAGGGCTTTGTTTCAACGACAGTGCCGTGCCTTCTGTCTCTGGTAATCTGCAGTGCTCACACGGGTTGGCACCACTTCTAAGACAGCACCCAAAACAAAACCCAGGAGGGAGGGTGATGGGAAAAAGGAAGGAGTCCATCCAAAGGGTACAGAGTCTCAGCAGCTAGCAGAAGAGGCTTGAGCGACCTGCTACATGGTGACCACAGCTAATAACGTAGCTTACTGGTGGCACTTTCACTCCTATAATCCCAGCACTCAGGAGGCTGAGGCAGGAGGACTGCTAAAGTTTGAGGCCAGCCTGGGCTACATAGTGAATTCAAGGGCAGCCTGGGCTATGTGGTGAGATCCTATTTCAAAAAACAGAACAAAATTACTGTGAAATACACTGTGACTAATTTGAAACTTCATAAACAAAAAGGAAACCAACCATATTAAATATTGAGGCAAATATTCAAAAAGAAAAATTCAGACATGCTAGGCTGCCAAGTATCTTTAACCTTTTTCCTACATTCTAAATAACATAATGTATATTATTTTTTAAAAGCATGTATAGTCTTCTTAAGTAAGACAGTGTTTTGAGTTTCCATTTGTTCCTATTACTATGATGAGCTTGCTTATTGTTAATCTAAGGGCATTTTCATGAACCATTTCTTTTAAGTTTCCCATTATAAAAGTATAGTTGCAAGAACAGCCGGGGATTTGGCTCAGTGGTGCTGCTGTCAGCCTCACCAAGTGCAAGGTCCCAAGTTAGATCCCTGGTACAAAAAAAAAAGTATAGTCATAAGAGACAATTCTGCAAATACTTTCAATGTAACACCAGGGCCGGGGATGTAGCTCAGCAGCACCGCACCTGCCTGGCAAGTGCAAAGTCCTGAGTTTGATCCCTGGTACCAAAAACATTATAATAATAAATTTTTTTTAAATAAATATGACACAAGACGCGATCTTCTTTTATAAAAAGGTGGACAATATCATGGGAACTATACGAGAGAAAGAGCTAAATCCCAATACCTACCTAGTGCAATTTTACTAGTAATGGATAGAAATATAAATTAAAAAAAAAAAAAGAACCAAGATGCATCATGTAAAAGTACAAGTTCCCAATGAGAAATGTAAATGTGTTATATACCTAAAATGTACCAATAAAAGAATTTAAAAAAAAAAAGAAATATAAATTAAATATTCTGCCACAAGCCTGAGATTATAAGCACTCATTATCTGCTCTGGAATTAAGAAATGCAGGTCTTTTGTGACCTTGGGGGAGAATATGGTAGGTATTATAGACATCATTTCCCCCACCATGTCCCTCCATTTCAGTGTGAAACATTTTTTTTCCTTTTTAATTCTGAAAATATTATACTGTATAAAGTTAGAACCAGGGAAACATCTGGGCATGGTGATACATGTCTGTAATCCCAGCATTCAGGAGGCTGAGGCAGGAGGGTTACTGAGTTTGAGCCCACCCTGGGCTACATAGCAAGATCCTGCCTCAACAACAACAAAAATAAATAAATTAATTAAATGAAACAAGGATGATAAACAGCTGCCAATAGTTTTTCAATAATCATACAGTTGCTTGTAATACATATTTTTGCTTGTTTTGAAGGTACCTAGGAAATTTTAAAATCATAACTGGCCAACTAGTCTGTGGCCTCTTCTGACCTAAGTAACACTGAATGTCCGAACAGTCGTGGGGACTGAGGGGGTGTCCCGGGGCCCAGAGGTGCCTTTGTGCAGGTGCACAGGTGAGACATGGGGCCAAGCTAGAGATGTGCCATACAGCCCTGCTCCTGAAAACTCGGCCTCTACCACATCTTCCTGCTGTCAAACATCTGAGGGCCTTAAGGACAATCCCAAGCTACCTGACCTGGAGTCAGACACACAGTTTCCACCTGAGCCCCGCCTGTTTGCACACATGCGCATGCGGCCCGAACACTGCGCCTTCACCTGGCCACGAGCCGCCCTGGAACCCGGATCCCATTTCTCAGTCCCTTGTCCTCATTCTGGAGCCCCTTCCGACACTGTAGTCCACCTGTGCTCAGTCCTGGGGATTTAGGCTTGGATCTTTTGCCACCTCCCCTGGGCCCACCTTGCCACACCTTCCCCCACCCTGGATGGCACCCAGGGTCTTCTTACTGAGCTACATCCCCAGCTCCTTTCATTTTTTTAAAACAGGATCTCACATTAAGTTGCCCAGGCTGGGCTCGAACTTGTGGTACTCCTGGCTCCACCTCCCACCAACCCTGGGATTACAGGCATGCGCCACCA